GTGTGTACGTGTGTACATTTATATGTATGTACACATACATGTGTGTACATGTATATGTATTTATGTATGTGTTAGAGAGAGCGATTGATAAATAAGTTGCATAGGATGCTGCTTTGGATTGAAAAGTTAGAGGTAGTTAGATGGCATGGTTGAGATGGAGGTACATAGATGCGTCGTCTAATGTAAAGGGTAAAAGGTCAGTAGCCTTAAATGCTGGAAATTAATGAAAAAGAGGAAAGGGAGAAGGAGAACAATATCTCGCTCGAAAAGGAATGGGAAGGCGAGGAGAGGAGAGATGGAGACGAACATGGAAACGAAAGTAAATAGCAAAACAGGAACAGGAAAGAACCCGACAGATCGGCAATGGGTATAGAGAGGGCAGAGGAAGACAGAGGGGTGAAGTGGTGATGGTGTTGAGGGGAAGAGGAGGAGGGGGCGCGTTGGAGATGGCAGTGGTGGTGATGGTGGTGGTGGTGTATTGATCGCGCACGTCCAGCCGCGGACCAACTCAGCTGCTCACTCGCGCACTCTAACACACTCATTCACACATACACGCAGGCAGGCAAGCATCCATTCAGATATTCATTGTTATCAAATTTCATTCACATCGGAGCTTTTGACTCGAAATTTGGGGACGGGGCGTGACAGGTCGGCGACAGACGATGGAGACTCTGAAGATGGACAAATGACTGAGGTAATGTGGACGGAGGGGCGGGGATGGGAAGCGAGGAGAAGGGGGGGGGTGTTGGAGGCAGAGAGACGGACAGACAGACAGGCTGGCAGACAAATAGATCAAGAAGGCAGGCAGAAATGTAGACAAAAAGCCATGCAGATGCCGATGAAAAAGCAGGCAAACAAACAGGGAAACAGGAAGGTGAACAAATAGACAGACAGATAGACAAGCTGGCACATAAACAGACAGCGAGAAAGTTAGATAGATAAGCAAACACGTACTCGGGCCGGAAGACAAATTGAGCAGGCCTAACAGCAAGCAGGTATATAGATAAACTTACAGGAAGGTATGCAAGCGTGCTTCGCCAACTAAGCTCATTAGTAAGCAGACAAGTAAACAAGTAATCAAGCATGCAAATAAAAACGTAGTCAACAGCAAGCAAGCTGTGAAGCAGACTTGTAAACAAACAAGCAAGCAAGATGCCACCGACAAGTAAGCAACCAAGACAATAAAAGATAGAGAAGATTTAAGGTAAATTTTCAGTTAGTTTCAGGTCGGTTCATCATCACATTTTCTGCCAACAAGCAAAGGGTAAGAATCAGTCAATTAGCTAAGCGAATGTTGTGATTCATTGCGGATACGGAGGGCTCCTGGTTGTAGCGGGGTGGCCACATGCGTTTTTATGTAGGCCTATGGTATGTTGCCATGTCTACTGCTTCATCTGTTCGTACAACATCTATGCTCTTTTTTCCTTGTGTCTATCGCGGTTTCTCTCTCTTGTTCCGTCTTATTCTCTCTTTTGTATTTTCGTTTTTATGTTGTTTTAAGATTCAATTTGCATTCTCCGGACATTGTACTTGGGCGCGTCTTTATTTCTGCTTAGATAAAATGGATCTTGACATTTCCAATAATCTTGGCATTTCAGTTTCCTGTCACACACACACACACAAACACACACGCGCGCGCGCGTATATAATCTTTATTTATGGATATTTATATATGTATATACATGATATAAGTATATATGTATGTATGTAATATATATATATATATATATATATATATATATATATATATATATATATATATATATATATATATATCATATATATAATACATATAATACATACATATACATATATATTTGTATGTATGTATGAATGTGTGTATGCATGCTTGTGTGTGTGTACATATATATGTATTAAAATTGTATATGTATGTTTATATGTATATGTGTACAGATATATGTATATTATGTATGTATGTATGTATATGTATATAAATGTATACAAATGTATACAAATGTATACATATATATGTATACAAATGTATACAATGTATAATATATATATATATATATATATATATATATATATATATATATATATATATGTATATATATGTATAAACACACACACACACACACACACACACACACACACACACATACACATACACATACACATACACATACACACACACACACACACACACACACACACACACACACACACACACACACACACACACACACACACACACACACACACACACACACACACACACACATACACACATACACATCATATACATATATATGTATATATACACATATACATGCATACATACATGTATACCTATATACATAAATAAATACATGAAAAATACATACATACAAAAAAACGTGCGTGCATACATTCATGCATGCATGCATACTTGCATTATTACATTACATACCTATCATATTTTCGTTTTGCATGGAATCCCGAGACTCATGCAATTTCTTTCTTTTTCAGATCATCCTTAAGAGCCGAGAGCGAAAGCAAGGTAAGTCGTTTGGACATGTTGTGGACATGTTGCAAGTGAGATCGAAGCAGGAGGTCTTGACAAGGTGCCTGAGAACTGTGAGTTATGTCGTCGAAGGGATTGGATGTGGCGGTGGTAGGTAGGTGGGTCAGGGGAGGGTGCCATGGGACAGGGCAAAACAAAACCGGGTAGGACAGGGCAGGGCAGGGCAGAGCAGGGCAGGGAAGGGCAGAGAAGGGCAGGGAAGGGCAGGTAAGGGCAGGGAAGGGCAGGGCAAGGCTGGCCTGGCTCGAATTGGTCTTGCCTGGGGAGGTGATCTTTGAGAAGGGGGTTAGGAAGGTTAGATGAGGGGAAGAGGCGTGCTGCAAGGATACTTTGTAATGGTGGGTAGCTCTCGGGAGGGCAGTAGGGGGAGGGGGAAGAAAGGGGGGAGGGGGTGGGCGAGGGCTAAGTGAGAGATGGGGGATTGAGGTAAAGGGGGAGGCCAAATTAGATCAGGAGCGCGTTTAAATCGGCGGGCCGGCTAAATCGGGGAGGACGTTGATTGCATCAGGGAGGCCAAGTCGGGAAACGCGAGGACAGGCCGCTGGTAGGCTGGTGAAGGGGGAAGGGGAGAGGGGGGGGGGAGAAAAAGGGGGGAATTTTAAGAAGGGAGGGAGGGAGGGAGGGAAGGGGGGGTAGGGGTTCTCCGACCACACTGGCTCTTGAGGTTGACCTTCATTAGCGGAGGTGTGTCGGCCGAGCCAGAGCGTCGCTGTCAGTGTTCACAACCCTTACATAAATAGTACTGTTGTTGTCGGACGCCTTCGTCGGGTCGTCCCCCTTGGGTTCTTGTTTGTTTATTGTGTCACTGTTTTTGTTTTTTCGTTTGCTTGGTAATTTGCACGAGGCCCTTTTATGATGGCTCTTTCATCTTATTTTTTCCGTCTTTCAAACCGCAGCCGGTTCTTTCTCTATCCCATTATATGTCTGTCTATATCTGTGTGTGTGTGTGTGTGTGTGTGTGTGTGTGTGTGTGTGTGTGTGTGTGTGTGTGTGTGTGTGTGTGTGCGTGCGTGCGTAGATTCGTGTAAATATACATATATGTATAAATTTATTTCTTTATTATTAATTAATGAATTTATTTATACATACTCTTTTCCTTCATTTCGCCCCCGTTGTTTATTTCATAAGGTCGATGCCATCTTTGTGTCATGTCCTCTTCCAGTTTCGTGCCATTACTTAAAGTGTTTGTCTTTTCCTGAGCGGGGAGAAGGAGTACCCGTCTCGTTTGTCAGTATTGTCTCCCGAGTCGCCAGCGTGTCTTGTGTAACCGGAGCGACAACTCGAGGTGTATATGAGGCAGCAAGTTATCCAGGTTGTGCCTGAATAATTCACTGGCCTCATTATTTATGCTGTTGAGGTGCAGAGCGGCGGGCAGGCAGGCAGGCACTTCTTGTCGTCATCGTCGTCTTTGTCGGGACCCGAAGCCCGCCCCCCCCTCCCAGCCTTTTACATTTTTTAACCCTTAGAGTGGGCTTGCTTGTACCTCAGTGGCTTTGGGAAAGCACTTTTGCTTTGTGGGCACTTAGCACCTGGCGTAATGACGGCATGGAAGAACGAAAAAGTCCTTAACCTCGGTCGGGCTTGTCTTTATCGATCCAACCCAGTGACAGACGACCTTGTTGATGTCTCGTTGTTGTCGTTGTCGTTCCTTGTTTCCTGCGGTCGCGTGGCAGCTGCAAGGGCGAGATACGGGAACGGTGCCGGAGCGATAACTCGAGCCTCTGGACGAAAGCGAGCGAGTGAAGCGATTTGTGGCCTGGCCGAGAGATTCCCTGCCGCTCAGAATTGGCAGGACAAGACGAGGAGCTGAGGAGAGCCTTTTGAGGTGCTGGTGGAGGCGTGGCAGGTCGTGGCAGATCACGGAACGACGACATATGATACTGTCCCTTCGGCCGATTCCCTTGTCTGTCTGCCCCCTCCCCCACCACGCCCACCCGCGTGACACAATTACGGGAATCTGGAAAGAGAAATGACACTGATGCTTCTCCCACCCCTCTTTTGTGTGGAGCAACAGCACAAGGAGCAGGAAAGTGGAGGGGATCGAACAGGGGAGGGAGGGAAGGGAGGGAGAATCCCAGGAGTGGTGGGGCTCTCCTGCCTTCCTCCCTCCCTCCCTCGCTCCTACTCTTCCCCCACTGCCTCTTGCGTGGCTGGTGGGGACCGCCACCCTTCCCTCCTCCCCCCCGGCCTCTGGTCTCCGCTCCACGACTTCGCTCCCCGTTGCGATCCCGGGCCCGGGTCCGAGGGTCGGTCGGACTCGCTCCTGCAGTGTCACGCTGGCTTCCGTGGAGTGCACACGGCTGCCTCCGCATCGTCTATCCCTATCCCTCCCTTCCTCCTCCACCGAAGTCTGTATCACCGCTGTATCATTGCTGCGCAGCCCGATCCTCACCTGCCTTGTGGTATTTGTGTGTATCACCCGGACCAGGCGCGGCCGTTGTAACAGGGGTGGCAGTGGCCGCCGTGATGAGCCAGTCATGATTTGCCAAAATTGAAAGAATGATACAGTTGGGCGGCCCGCAGATAGTAAAGTGCTCTTAGTCCGGTGGGGACTGAGATGCTCGCCGATAATCCAGCGAGCGGCGGTGTTCTGGCTGCGAGTGCTCTAGTGCAAAGGGAAAAGTTAAGTTGAAATATAGCGAGTGCGGAACGGCGAAGCGCGTGGTGGCGTGAAGAGCGAGAGTGGCCGGATGTAGTGTGTCTCGCCATTCAAGTGTGGTGGTGTGTGGTGACTTCGCTGGTGATCAAGGGAAAAGTTGGCGCTGTGATAGTAGTGGTGGTGCTGCCGTGTGGCGACTGGGTACGCCCCTCCCAACACGCCGTCTAGAGGGGAAACAAGCAGAGCAACTCGTTCTTTGTTTACCCCGACCGAATCCTGCTAAGCAACAGATACCTAAGCTTCCCCGTAGCCTAAGGACGACTGGCCAGACGTCCTCACACACATCTCGTGTTTTATTAACGAGACATCAGTTGGTAGGACGTGAATGGAACGCTGTGTGGTGCACACGAGGCCGGTGTGCGAGAGACAGAGAACAAGTGGAGTATTGACTGGAGCTCCAGCTGACAGGAGCGCCGCGCCACAAGGACCAGGTGAGGCCGTCTTGTTCGTCACTTCATCCTTCCTACGTCCTGTGCTCTTGTAGGATTACAGGCTGATATATAGTGACGTCACTGATTGACCGTTGACCTACAGGGAGCATAAAATGTTATCCAAGGCCGGAGAGGGCCACAGCGCCGTGGGGTGTGTGCGTGTGTTTATATATCTTGCTGTTCATCATCTGCTGCCTGTTTCTTGCCTGTTTGGGTTTAAGTGCATCCTCCAACCTCGGTTAAGCAGACCAGCCACTTCTTATCCCATGGTCACTCACTCTAATGATGGATACTTCACCTGTTTCTGGGTAATCGCTTCAGACCAGCTATACTGTCGATGTCGCACAGGTGTTAGTAATTATTTTTGATCGGCTTTTTTGCCTTTGTTGTTTTTTTTCTTCACCTGTGGTTGATAGCAGAGCTGTGCTGGACTGACGAGGCTTGAATATCGTGAGTTTGTAGTCATATGCATAAAATCTGATACATTTTTCTTAGGCTAAAGAACTTACTGCCAATAAGTATGCCGCCCTTTCAGAATCAACTTTTGTCCACCTATGGGCGTAGTACTTGTACCTGCAATAGTAACGTACCTGCTAAGACGTTATCATGTACGATTGCTCCCTCAGTATACGCGATCGTCTCTTGTGATAGGAATACGTTGATACACTACTAATAACGTTGTCAGGGCAGGGAGCGGGGATTAAGGGTGAAAGCACTCTTCGCATTGCCATGGCTCGTGCAAGGGCCGGGGTATAAGCAGATTGAATTGGAGAAAGGGAGGGGAAAGACAACCCTGATTGCGAGACTTAAAATGTTTGAAGGAGTGATCGATGGGAGAAAGGCGGAGATAAAGGAGGCGAAGGTTGCGCACGTGAGATAGGAAAGGAAGGGCGAGAAGGGAACAAGGGAGGTGGGGAAGAAAGAGAGAAGAGAGGACACGGAAGGGTGGAAAGGATACAAGAGGAGAAGGAAGTAGAGAGACAGAGAACAAAGGGGAGAAATAGGAGTTTTAGTGAGGAGAGGGTGTCCGAACAATAGAAACATTAGAGAAGAAGGGGGGAAGAAACGGGGGCGAAAGAGAAGAACGATTTAAGGAAGAAAGTTAAGGTTTTAGATGGTAACAATGAAAAAAGAATCAAAAGTGAAGAGATAACAAATTATTCAGAATGGAGGAGAGAAGGTAAGGGACTGATATGTAGATGAGAAGGCAAAAAATAATGATGATTGTGATAATCGTGATCGGAAATGATGAAACGGGATGAAGAGAAGAGAGAGGGAAAGAACAGAGAAGACGATGAGGGAGATGAAAATGGCAGTCAGTAAGAATTAAGAAGAATGCGACGAAGAAAAGACGAAGGAAAAGAGGATAATAGTAACGGTGATTCGACCTACGATAGAGTAGGAGGAGATGGGACAAGAAATCTAATCTTGTCGATAAAGATGCCAACATTCAGGCACACGAGACACGGACAAAGGCATGTGAGACGGACAAGAGTAGCAAGGACAGAGGCAGGTGTAAGAAGCATGGACGAGTAGGGGGCCGCGGCCATAAAGATAGGGAGAGGTCGCCTCCCACAAGGAGGGAGTGTGGAGGGGGGGAGGGAGGGAGGTTGATGGTGGGCCGGGTAGCATCCTCACGCGAACAAATTATGTATCGCCATAAAGAAGTAATGTTGCGACAAGGGGTGAGGAGTGAGGATGGGGAGTGAGTGAGTGAGTGAGGGTGGGTTGTAATGGTGCTTGGAGAGAGAGAGAGAGAGAGAGAGAGAGAGAGAGAGAGAGAGAGAGAGAGAGAGAGAGAGAGAGAGAGAGAGAGAGAGAGAGAGAGAGAGAGAAAATAAAAAGTGTGTGTGTGTGTGTTTAAGTATTTGTATTTGTGTTTTTTA